ATTTACGTAAAGTGAAGCCTGCAGTTGCTAGAAGCTCCTGAAGTTCGTGCAATTTTTCTGCAGCTTCGATTGGAGTGTGTCCACCTGATAGTACGTCATCAATGTAAAATTCATTTAGAATCGATTCAGCTGCCCGTGGAAAACGAGTTTGCTCCTCTTTTGCCAGAGTACGCAATACTTTGATGGCAAGATATGGAGCACAATTAGTCCCATATGTTACAGTGAGCAACCGGAACGTTGTAGGGGCGTCCCCGTGTCGAACGCGCCACATTATTCGTTGCAAATCCACATCTTTGCTATCAACAAGAATTTGCCTGTACATTTTTTCGATATCTCCTGTAAACACTATAGGGTAATGCCGCCATTGCAAGATGATATTTGATAGATCATTTTGTAATCTGGGACCTATATGCAGACAATCATTAAGCGATATTCCGCTCAAACATTTATTAGAAGCATTGAAGACTACGCGAAGCTTCGTTGTAGAACTCGATGCTTTATAGACACCATGGTGAGGAAGATAACATGTTGAAGCTACATCATACGAGTGTGGCACCACTTCCATATGGCCACAGGTCTGATATTCGTCCATGAAATCTTGGTAGAGTTTGTACATATCCGGATCTCGGGTTAATCGCTGTAACGTGCTGTTTAATAATGCAAGTGCATTTAGTTTACTTGACTTAAGTGTTGCCAAATCAGCTTTCTGCTTGATTGGTAGTCTAACCACATATCGACCCATTGCGTTGCGTACAGTTGTACGCTCAAAAAAAATCTTCACAGTACATTTCATCTTTTGTTAACGGAGCGTGGTTTGTTATTTCTTCCAATTCCCAAAATTTATGTAGCATTTCGTGCAATGTTGCCCGAGTATGACAGCAATTAACTTGTCCTTTCACTGAAATACCCTTTCGTCGCGACAGTCCACCAAAAATTACCCAACCGAGTTGCGTATATTGGGCAACAATATTGTTAGTTGGATGCCGTTTTAGTCGCTCATAGACAATAGCAGCATAATCTGAAGCGCTCAAAATCATATCGACTGCCCCCGGAACCTGTAATTGAGGATCAGCTAAATCTAAATTCATGAACTCACCAAGCGCTTCTTTCGGTATGGGAATGGTTGGGGTAACGCTACCCACTCGTGGAAGTATTAGTGCAACACAATTCATGTTGAAATCGGATTTTAACGAATGGATTGTAAATGAAACCATTCCTCTTGAATTGGCGACCCTTTCACCATTTGCACCACTCACCGGCACTATGACATTTGTTTTGTCCAGTTTTAACCGCTGCACGATGAATTCGCTGACAAACGTTGCTTCCGACGCGCTATCCAAAAGAGCTCGCACAATAAGCTTCTGACCAGAAGGACTCCTTACCTCTATCAATGCAGTGCCAATTAAAACAGTCTGTAGATGTAAAGTTCGAGCACCTTGATTAGCACTGGAAATGTATGTATTATTTGATGTGACAGCGTATTTCTTAGTCGCTTCAGTGGTCTTTTCCGGTATATTTGAGTAATTAGTTTCTCCACCACTTCCACTATGGTCATGTAGTAATGTATGATGCGCTGCATTACATCGCAGACACCGATATTTCGATGGACAATTATGACCCATGTGTCCCGTTCTCAAACAATTGAAACACAATCTTGCAGATCTGACTACCTCATATCTCTTTGTCCCAGTCATTTGCCGAAATTCTGCGCAATATGCCAGTAAATGCTTACCTTGACAATGCACGCATTGTTGAACAGTGGTATGATGGCTTTTCACGAACCCCTTTGTTCTGATAGGTGTTACAAACTTTTTCTCCTGATTAGAGTTATCGGTCATGCTATTAACTACCTCCAGCGAATGTATTCGATTTTCTAAGAAACTGACCAGCTCCTCAAATTTTGGAATTTGTTCTAAACTGGTTGTTGACAGCTCCCAAGCTGAGCGTGTTTTCGTGTCTAATTTTTGGAGAAGGGTAAAGACCAACCAATCGTCCCAATGCTGCACTGGACGACCCAATTGCTCTAACGCACGCACAGCTGACGTGATGGTGTCACATAACAAGCGTAAACTATTTGGTAACCCATCAGACACCGTTGTTAAATTAACAATTTGTTTTAAATACGCATTAAGAATGATCCTCTTGTTCTCATACTTGCGGACGAGTAAACTCCATGCTACTGCCCAATGTGCATCTGTTGTAGTAATGTTGTCTAGGGCGTGTTGAGCGTCCAACACTAACGCATCTTTTAAATATTGAAGTTTCTGTGTATTAGACAATGCAACGTTATTTGATACAACTGACGTGAATAAATCCTTAAATGCGTACCAGTGCAGATAATTACCATCAAACGACGGAATTTTAATACGTGGTAAATTAGACGTCAGTTCCATGCTTGACACACCTTTAATTACAGTTTCGTTATTACCTGGAGATTCTATAACTTCAGTGCTTTCTAACTCATCGATTAGCTCTCCCATCATTTCCGAATAAATTATTTCAATTTCCATGTAACTGTCTTCGCTAACTAACGCTTTTATTGTGTCACTCACTTCTTCCACCTTTGCACCGTCATAAATATTGGCCAACAAATCTTCTCGAGCTTCCTTGTACTGCGTCCAGTAACTTTCCAAGAGATTCTTTCTGGCAGTGAAGAAACCTTTTGTTTGCTTGCTTTTTGCCGTTTTCCGTATGTTGGTGGAGAAGTTTTTCAGCAGGGATTGCGTAGCTTCCAATTTTCTGGCGATTTTTTGCATTTTCAGATTTTATGCGAATCAACTGTGATTATTTTCGAAAGTAAATAATTGTGCCCAGCGGCTATAAAATTTGGTAGATATGCCCAGCGGCTATGAATATGAAAGATACGCCCAGTGGCTATAACTTTGAGAAATATGCCCAGCGGCCAGACGAAGCACGCGATCTTCGTAGGCAGCAACACACAATTGAACGCAAAAGATATGTTGCTCCCCGCAAGGGATGCCAAAAATGTTCGTTAAATGCGGTTTTTTCTTTATTTAAAGTTTCAAAGAATATTTCATTTATTTATCTCTAATATTACTTATCATATACAACATATTTTTAAATGTAATTAGAACAAAACTCAAACAAATTTACTGCACAACACGAAACACAACCGAACACGACGGATGCTCGTACAACAAGAAGAATGAAAAAACTTGCTAACCATTAAAGGCAGCCCACACACAGTGGTTGCCAGATTGATATAGATAATTTTAAACAAGTTCATTGAAAATACAAATATAATCGATGTAATTAAAGATTATATTAAAGATAAATATCCAACAGCCTTAGAAACATATCTCACGGAACCAGAAATCATGTTCAGGGTAAAAAAGACATATAACGTTTTTTACAAAAGACCACAGCGACGATGTGTAGCACCAATGAAATATGTTCGCATCACTAGTGACTGTGATGAAAACACAAAACAACGTTTGTTTAAAATTCCACACTATTATAAACATTTGTGTGAAAATAAAGATAATGAACATCAAAGCGTAAAAAAAAGTTTAAAGAAACAAGATAGTTCTCCACATAAAAATATAAATAGGTAAATATTAAGTAGAGAAATGATTGATTATTTAGCCATTAAAAAATTTATGTATGTGCATTATAGCGTTACCGATAAAAAGATATTAGAAGAAAAGATCCTGGGACTAAAGAGGTATTTAAGTTATTTAAATAAATAAATTATTTTATTAAAACGGAATTTTTTATAAATATAGTATTATATCAAATTTTGATGCTAACAACAAAGAAACAAATGAAAAAGTGCGCAACCTTCCAGTCAGTTTTGAAACGTTTAAAAGGTTAACTTTTCACAATGATGTTATTGCTAACATTTGCCAAAGCATAAAGGAGTTGGAGTATGAGTTGCCAATTTCAAATATATCAAAAGAAGAATTATTTGATAATAATAAATTACTTCGGAGTTACTACAAAACATTTTACATGCAAACGGTTATTCGGACAATATTTCCATTGAAAATAAAACCATGTCCAGGACGTTTTAAGGACAAACTTTTGAAATATCCAGAAATTACGTCAGATCATGAAGGTAAATAAAAATATTTTAACCCTATTGCAACTAATTCTCGATTTAGAGTTTCGTTCCAAACGCGTCCTGATTGCTTGAGACCATATATTGAACGTAGAAGTTTACATACCTTGCCTGAGCTATCGTTAAAACCCTTCGGCTGTTTCATGTATATTTCTTCATCGATCGAACATTGTTGCACGAGGTTGGGTGGATTTATTATAAATCCACCAGCAAAATAAAGTGGGTATTTCGTTTGTATGAGCGTGGCACTTCTTTGTACTATAGATTCTTTGCTCTGAGTATACTCATATAACTATTAATTTAGCGATCAGTTGACGTATAAATAATAGAGAAAAAACCGCAAATCAATTATAAGAAACATAATTACAAATACAAAAATAAAAATTAAATTTTTTAATTAATATTAATAGTAAATGATAGCGAAGAAACCCACCCAATAAGAAGCTTTCATTTGGAAGGAACACTTTAGGCAGTGCAACAGCGGGTACGGCAAGTTTAGGGCGTTTTACTAAAAGTGCGTGAATAACTTTGAGTTTTTGACTTTGGCTCTTAACTAACTAACCAAGTTTTCCACATCGGATACCATGACTTCCAGATCGGAAGGTAGCTCGCGCTCTGCAGGTGTTGGCGGTGCAGCGTGCTGCGGAGGTGGTGGCGGATGATAATTATGTGATTGTTGGCGTACTGAGTTCGAGCGTTGTTGCGACTGTTGCTGTTGTTGTTGTTGTTGTTGTTGTTGCTGTTGCTGTTGCTGTTGCTGTTGCTGCTGCTGCTGCAATTGTTGAGTTGCAGCAGTGGAACTATGCATCGATGGCACGCTGCCGCGACTTCTCGAATGCGCTAGATTCTGACCCGTGCTGTTGACATTTGCTGTTGGATTCATAGCGGGCGGACTTTGTCGACTATTGTTGGTTACTGTAGTTGAGTTGTTGTTGAAGAGACTTGCACGCGGTATGTTACTAAAACTAGCACGATTAGTACGCTGAGCATTAAATTGTGGCAGTTGGTGTTGTTGTTGCTGTTGGTTAGCAGTACTGTTGGTTGTAATTGTATTTGCGTTGGATGTAGGTGGTGCGATGCTTGGATTGGTGGGCATTAGCGGTTGCGTTTGTTGCGCTGTACTGCTTGAACTACGCCGCAATGGCAACATTTGACTATGACTTTGCTGTTGACCATTGCTGGCTGTTGATTTTGTTGCTTCCTGCAGGTTTGTTGCGGAATTATCACGTCGCAGATTTACATTTGAGCTGCTGCGTTTCGTGCCAGAAACTTGCGGGGGATCTTTACCATTCTTAGTGGTGCCGGATTTCAGATTGAGACTGCTACGTTTTTTTGATTTGGTCAAATTACTTTGACTGGAATTGATAAGATTCTGTGTGCTGCCAAAATTACGGCTCAGGTTCGTGGAATTACTTTCGCTAAGTTTGCGTGAATTTCTATTGGGCGCAACGACGAACGGATTATGACTGGAAAGCGAGTTGGAGCGTGTGTACTTCAGTGCACGCTGTGACTGTGTTGAGGCATTTGAATTGGACTCCATATTCGTTTTGCTGGAACTACGACTTATTTTAGTGGTAGGAACCTTTACAGCTGTATGCTCAGCTCCATTGGGGGCAGTGCGTGACTCATTAAGTTGCGTATACTGCATGTTCTCATAGAATGGATTTTCAAGTTTAGATGGCAAGGATTTCGGATTCAAAGTCTCGTAATTTGGTTCGTTTAGCGTCAATATTTGATTGTCTTCGTCATTATTGCCACGCAGCAGTAAAGCAGTACGTTTCGTTTTCTCACCGTTGGAGCTCTTGCTACCGTCGGCACTTTGGCGTTTACTCTCATTACTGGCACTTAGTCTATGCTGTCGTTTTTTATTAGCAGCAGCACCGTTACTTGCTCCCACTACGTGAGTTTTTACTTTAGCGTTTTTAGAGAGGCGCAGAGCAAACTTGAACGGAGGTTTATAAACCACTTGAAGCTTGACCTTTTCATTTGATAGATTACCCATGGACTTGGTTTTCTGTGGCGCTTTCTGTACCAAGCGCTCAGGAGTAGATTGAGATTTACTTATAACTTTGCGTACTTTGGATGAGTGTTCAATATGGGATAGGGGCTGTGCGACAATAGGCGATTCTAGTAACCATTTCTGAACTTTGCCAAACGTGTTGGTGTGGGCACCAGATGCGCCAGCTGTATTTTGAGCATTGCGGGCTGAGTAATCAATTATTTCCTTGTTGTGTTTCTTGAACTTTTTCAGTTTTTTAGCATCATTGGCCACTTTTTCCGAATTGGATGTTATAGGATTTGTGATTAGTCTATTGGACATATGCGTTGCTGCAGTTGTGGCACCGCCAGTAAAACGATTCTTTTTCGCCCGTACCGGTTTCTTTACCTCAACATTTGCTTCTGCTGCAGGTGCAATCGTTTTAGCCGCTACACGATTTCCGCTTGCATGGGTGGACTTCACACCTACTTTGCCATTCGTAGCTGCTTTCTTACCAGCGCTCTTGCTGCTGCGTTCGCCGCGCACCTTCTTCTTGAGAGGCACCTTTGTGCGGACAGCTGTATGCACGATAACGCCGTTGTTGTCGTCTGGCAGACGTACTGTTTCGGTTGTGGCGCTGTGGATAATTGTCACTGATTTTAGTTTCAGATTGGAGCGCTTCGCCAGGAGCTTGGTGCTTAGTACCTAAAAGCGAACGAAAGTTATTTTGGTAAATAAAAATATTTAAAAATAGTGAAACTAAATTTAATATATTAAATGAATATCTGAGTGCTACGCGGAATGACACTGTCGGTATGACTACAGCTTGAAGTCTAGCGTTATGACGGCGCGATTACTTGAATTGCAAATATTTTTGCTCGAAACACTTACACGCTTCGGTCATAGCAATCTTTTCTTCATATTCGTCCTTTAAAATATTTGTTACAAATCTTAAAATCTATTGTTCACAAACCAAAAATTATTAAAAAAAAAAGACATCATTTCATTTATTAAAATTTATAAATTTCAAACAAAAATATTATTAGTGCATTTGTGTATAAATGAATAACGTAAATATTTTTTACTGTTCACTGAGCTAAGCTACAATAAATTGCAAATCAATGTCAATTCTGCTGTTCGACAAGACAATTTCCTGCGTTTTGCTTCACAGCAATCCTTTGCGCAAATGCTTTTTGCTGCAAATCCTGTGAACTACGATTACTTACCAGCAGTATAAAGACGCCGATTGCTGCCAATGCCACCGTATACCAGTTCTGCAGAATCCACTTTTTGAATGTAGCAATACTCTCTTCAGATAAGAGCAGTTTCCGCAGTGTAGCCAACGGTCCGGAAGGATCAACTTCACGACATTTCTGGAAGACGTCGCAATAACTGTCCGAAAATGAAATGAAAAGCCATTGAAATATAAAAAATTTATAGAATTTATTTCATGTGTAAATTTTGTTAAAAGACTTTCGCTTATTTTTTCAACTGAAAATTGGGCGCACAGCGATGAGATATGACATGGTAGAATAATGTCACAAATCGTTATTACGCGCAACTGAAGTAGAACCACCAATGCAGTTGGTACTTGATCTTATGCGTAACATTTCTTCTTCACTTTTTTTGGCTTACATTAATCTTTTACTTACCCATTATAATCGTTGCAGGGTGTGCCTGGTTTCGCGTACATGTCAGGCACATCAAACGGTGGCTCATTCCATTCGAACGAACTGCGGCACGGATTGTCTTCACCAGGAAGCTTGCAACACAATTCACATGACTTGATTTTATCATCCTTTGGTCCTGGTATGCATTGGCATGACTCGAGGCCATAAGCCAAACATATACTGCCCGTGCAGTCACCCATGTAGCAAACGAATTCTTTATTGCAAATGGTTTTGTTGGGTTTATTAACCGAGGGTGGACATTGTGGCATGCGCCCGTCGCAAAAGCTCGGATCGCGGCAACCGTTATCATCACGACACTTATCGCCAAACTTCAGTTTACAATCTGTAGTACAGCAGGGTCCTTGTGATGGACTGCACATGGCACGCGGTGTTAATGTGCAAGGTTTCTCATCAATTCGAGGGTGTCGCGACATGGGGAAGCAGCAAGCATCCTTACAATCCTCTTCCCAACCGCAATCACACTGTTCGCCTGGCTCCACAACGCCGTTACCACAAATCGATGTTTGAGGTTCTGTGAAGCAACCTTTAGCGCTGCGTGCTTTAGCGTTCAGTACCGGCTCAATGGATTTTAGCGAACAAGGCGAGAATTTATTATTGTTCTTCTTATCTCCTGAAGTGGCACGAGCAAACATTATGTAGTTGCCGTCTTCTCCACCAGGAGTGCACTGCTCGGGATCATGCTAAATAAGAACATAACTTTATTGAGTATTTGCATTTATGTTATAAAGTAATTAAGAAACCAATTATTTAATAAATAAAAGAGAAGCATAATATTTCTAGTAGAAAGTAAAATTATTTTAATTATTTTCACAACAATAAATTAGTTATTGTATGTATTTTTATTAGTGACCACATTTTCAATCTAATTAAGCAGTTTTAGCTGGCATATGTGTCCGTTCCCCTGTCCGCCCTTATGCCTAATTGCAGCATAAACAACTAACAACACGAAAATGATAGCACAGCGAATTAACCGAAGTTTGTGTTTTCGTGTTAGTGTTACACTCCTTCACCAATACAAACAACAACGCATGCATTGTGCGAACGCATTCAACAGCAGCAACAGCAACAGCAGCAACAGCAACAGCAGCAGCAGCAACAACACAAATGAAATCGATGGCGCTGTTGGCATTGCACACATGAGTTTTGCTTATGCTTTGATGTTGTTATTGTTATTCAATGCCACTAAATGAACACAATTGTTGTTGTTCCTCAGAACAGCATCAGTTGTGCGGTTATTTTTGCGTTGTACGTATAGACAATGGGTGCGTTGTTGTGTTGTGTTGTGTTGAATTTTGTTGAGTTGTGCTTCGTGAGCATGCGACGAACTGTGAATAATTTTATTAAGAATGAGCGAGCAGACAAGATGTACAAGTTCATGCAGTTTTTACTGTTGTTTCGCTGCCATGATGACTAGGTTGTTGTAGTTGTTATTTTTGCTAATGTAGAACCTCAAATTTGATGCATATTGGCAACAAGTTAAAGAAGTTGCTTACGGTCTAAGTTAAACATTGCGTAGGAGAAATGTCTAAACTATTTTTCACCACTTCAATTGTAGGCCTTTCCAAAATAATCACTATTTCTTTGTTACGTAAATATATTATGAAAAATTGTTAAGCAATGACCATTATATTTATTAGTATATTCTGTTATTCAACATTATATGTATGTCTTTTCAGCTATGCATTGCGATAAAATTGAAATAATTTATAAAACAAAATTTAAAATTAAGTCTTTGAAAAAATTCATGCATTTAATCTTTGTTTTTATGTAGGAGCTAATATACACATATTTAGATTACTTTCTTATCTATTCCTCACCTTTTTCTAAAAAATTATTGTTAAAATGTTTTGGACAATTATTAAATGAACCCCTCAAAATTGCTTAATAAAAATAGGCAAAAAAGGTTAATGGGAAACCAATAATTTTCAGATTTTAAATAGTAATAATAAAAAATATATGCAAAAGTGGAAAAAACACAAAATCAATAAAAAATAAAACTAAAAAAGCGATCCTAATAACAATAAAGAAATAAATTTTATGCCATAAAAACTTACGGGTGAACCGAAATTGTGTCCGATTTCATGTGCCAGCGTTACATGAGATACAGCGGGTGGCACATGTTTCCCGTAATTGAGCAGCGTAACTATGCCAGTATTCAAGGACTTCAATGAACCGCGGTAGTGCTGGAAAAGAGAGAGAAGTATATGTATATTACAAATCCAATACAAAAGCAGGCGAAAAAAAAATTTCTAAATAATTTTTTATTATTAAAAGAAAACAGCAAAGAAAAAAAATAAAATTTTTTATATTTACGAAACAGAAAAAAAATAATTTTAGCAAAATAGGGATATAGCATCTTTTAGAGTAAAAGAAGGTAAATTTTTTTTCTACCCATAAACAAAAATAATTTAATTAAGCGTATGAAATTTTAAGTTATATGACATTCTTATGAGTTTTAATTAATTTAATTGAACTTTGTAAAAAATGTCTTTTATTTATGTTTAGTAAAAAACAAAAAAGTTATTTGTTATTACATTTAATGAACAGGAAATATTTTTTTTTATAATTTTAATATTTTTTTAAAAATTAGTAAATATTTGATATCCTTACTGCGATGCACTGATTTCGTATCCTGCTGTAACGTTTCTTTACAAGGCAAACTTTTAGACAACTTAGTATTCGCAACATTTCGTTAGCAATTCTCGTAAACAGAGTTTAAATGCACAACAAAAGCGCATACAGGCATTCGGGCATTCGGGCATTTGGCAAATATGCAAATTAATCATACATCAAATAATTTATCATTCAAACTCGGACGAGTTGAGTTTCATTTAAATGCATGCGCATTTATTTATGTACTCGCCGCTATTATTCACTGGCGTTTGTTAAGCCAAAAAGTCGTCAATAGATAAGCACAGCACACAACACACAACACACACTACACACTACGCACTACACAATTCGATTACAACCACTACACCAACAAAAGCAACAATAAAAACTTCTCTATGCAATAATATATTTCAACTAAGAAACAACAACTACAACAAAAGCAACAACTACAACATTAATATAATACGTTGGCTTTGTTTTTGTATGCATTTTTATGCTGCCCGCGCCTCAAGTTAATCCATAGCATGTTGAGTCATGACCACGATCATGGCCACTAGCACAGCATCATTTCTCTCGTATGGATGGATGGCTGTACTATTTTGTATTAGTAATTGTTGTTGTTTTTATTTACATTTTTGTTGCCTTGGTGGCTTTTGTTGTTCGCGTTGTTTGCGTTGTTGCTGTTTTGCACATAATCAGTAATCATTTATTTATTCATTTTTTGAGTGATGGCAGCACTACCAACAGCAACAGCAGCAGCAACAACAACAACAACAACAACAATAACAGCACAAGCATAAACAATCAACTCTAACATTACTCTGTTATACACTAAAGCTCAAAAAGGATATCTATGAATTTAGTGCCGTCCTAAAGTTGGATGTAGTACGTCCTGCAAATAAAATCACTGAACCGCTATACTCTAATCATACGTTGGCGGTGTAGCTGCTGTAACAAAAACGACAATGAACAACAGCTATGCAAATATCCACAACGAACCAGCGGCAGTGGGTATGAATACTAAATCAAAATACAAACAAACGAAAAAAACAAAAAAATACAAACAACAACAAAGACTGAAGTAGAAGTAGTCCAATTTGTGTTTTTAGAATACGAATACGCAGTAGATATAAATTAGGGTTTCTGGCCAAAGTCAGACATTGGTAGGATATTGTAATGCCGTACATTGTCGTATAACATAGATATGATAATAGTCTTCCATAAATTGCGAATACAAGTATATGACCTCGTTTAAGAAACTCGCAGCAAACTGTGATCTATTGAAGAGATCACAATTGAAGGAAACCTATTTTGGTTTGTGGCAGAGATACAGCTTAAAGACACCCCATAACCATTATGTAACCGAATAGCTTCACTGATTGAAAATAGTTAAAAAAACTATTTTATTTTTATTAATTGTTCAGGTATGAAATACGGCACTGATGTCCCCATAATGTCCTAGTCCATATAAGAATGTTGATCATTCCTAAATACTATTAACCCACGTTTCTATCATTTGGTGCTCTTATTATCATCTGGAGTTCATCTAAGGCCTTTCGTATGAGTATAAAAATAACATATATTTATAAAAATAACATATGAAGTTTTCATAATTTCACACATTTATTTGACATCTAACATTATAAGACGAAGAGTAGTAAACAAAAAGTAACCTATGTTATAAATGCTGGGTAATCAAAGCTTTTGCATGGAGCAGAAGTGCTCCATACATTTCTTGTAATCTCCAGTTTTCTTCAATTTGTGTCTATTAGGTATATTAGGATAAGCTATATCTGATTCGTTACTCAATAAAACCTGATAAAGACTGTACCAAGCAACTTTAATAAACGATTACGAATTTAGATAGCCTATATCTATATATAAAATATATAAGGTTATATATTTGTGTACGCATATTATCTCCATGCCTTCTTCTATTTTGAAAGGTTGCGTTCGTTCAAGTCTATGGGTAATACGACTGCATTTAGAAACGAATGTGAATATTTTATGGGAATATGATTTCTAAATGTTTTTTGTATAATTTTTAATAAGACTGACATAGATTATATTTATATCCTAACCGTGCTTTACACTTTGGGAGATTTACTAAAGATACAACTAATATTTAGAAGTACATTGTTTTATTTATATCCTTATCCTTACAATCCATATCCTTCACTGCTTTACACGTTAATTCGTAATAACACAACGTTCCATTATATGAGCATAAGTGGGCTCTGGACAAAAGATCGTTAGTCTAATTCAGGGTGTACAATGATTTGTTTTGGCCCGCAATCGTATCTGGTGTGGACAGCTCTGGTCTAATTTAATCGCATTAATTCATGCGATTAGTGCAATAGAACCAATATTTTAAGCCAAAATGTGAATTACTTAAACTTTAAAATCCTTTTTAATATAACTAAATCTAAAAGCTAAAAACTATGCAGTGCAACCAGAAAAGTAACAATCAAGCATTGTTTATAAACTCAAACAGTTTTATACTTAAGTGACTTGCAAATGGGTAAATAAAGGGGTTCGCTTGTCAGCTGCAATCACAATGAACCCCCAAAAAAGTGAAAAGTCAATGGGGAAAGCAAGAAAGCAAGGTTCAAAACTACCATTCACAATGCAAAAGTGAATACAATGGAATTATCCACACCCTTGCGCACGTCCCATCTAAGAAAAAGGCTTTGAATTTTTTGTATTACAGTTTTTGTACGTATCCTTTATCCATATATGCATGTAGTGCAACAACAACAACAACAAATTGGTTATGCAACAAATGCACTAATATGCATTTGTGCTGATGCATATTCATCGGTGCTGGCAACACTGCATATATCCATAGATTGGTATGCAACTGGGTCATTTAGCTGCTGATATTGACTTCCATTCTTCGAACGTCAAAAAATATACCAAAGGATTTTTTTTCCATTATTTTTTTTTCCTTTCATTTTTTCTTCCTTTAAGTTCTTTCACATATCCTCTGTTTTGAAATTCAAAAGGACAATCGTGCTTAAGTGCTGCCAGTTTTCATTTCGAGAGTTTTGAGGGCTAAACTCTAAGTTGAATGTCATTTTTCGTGGCGATGCACGCAATCACAGGCAACGCACATTCGACAACAAAAGCGGATTAAGGCATTTCAACTTTATAGAAACAATGTTTAAAGTAATTAGTAATTTAAAAAGTAATTAAAATCGTAGAAAATATTTCATTTTGAAATTTAAAATATTCAGTGGCAATGTTGAGCTTCCAAAATTTATGAAAGCACATTTTTGGTTTGATTGAGTTTAGGATATGCCGCAGGGTCTCAATTTCAATTACGCGTGAAAAACACGGAATTGTGAATTTTTGTTCCGTGAAAAATGAGCAATTGCACACAATACCAGAAATACAAAGCAGAGCACAGCACAGCACAGAACTCCGAAAACACAATCATAAAACTTAATTTAGCAAATGAAAGTTTGTAAATTGTTCAGTTCTCGCACCGATTCAACAAGATTTGCTATCGAAATTGAATATTTTTAACAACGGATGCTGCGCCACATAGAGCAGCTGTCGACACTAAAAGACCATCAAGGACATGAATGCTCTGGGGCTTTAAACTTAGCACATTTTTATGCTTTGTCATTAAAGATTTTTTGAAAGTAATTTGAGAAACAAAAACATTAATTTACACTTCCTGTGTGGCATGTTTTCTTCAAATAAAAATTTCATTCGTTATTAAAAGTTAATTGCCAAAGACAAATTTAATAACGCCAACGGTGAGGTGAAGTGGAAGACAACGTCGGACGTTCTGCAAGATATTTTAATACGAATAAAACAGTACATTTTATTGCTCTTGCTCTCTTTATTTATTTCAATGTTGCTAAAGTTTTTACTATCGTTACATTGCACCGTCGAATACATACACACTTTGGATTCAAAAATTTCACTTCAAGATTTTACATTCAGGATAATGTGCGATAAGATTATTATCCTCGTGATGACTTAAAATTAGTTTTTCATTCTTAAAAAAATAGTCAATTTTATAAACAAAAGTTAATATGAAAAATTCTGATTCGATGAGAAATATTTCACTAGATGGAATTGATAGGCAACATAAATATGTTTCAGTGAAGAAATATTTTACATTACACATAAAATATTTCTATATATTATTAAAAAAATGTTCTTCAAAAAATAATTTTCCTTGATAAAAACTGATTAGTCATGTTATCTTTTGCTGTT